AAGAAGGAGAGTGCAAAAGTTGGCTTGAAACTCAACATTAAGAAAACCAAAATCATGGCATCCGTCCCTCTCAATTCCTGGCAAATAGATGGGGAAGAAATGGAGGTAGTGACAGATTTTATTTTCCTGGACTCCAAGATCACCGCAGATGGGGACTGCAGCCAAGAAATTAAAAGATGCTTGCTCCTGGGGAGGAAAACTATGGCAAATCTAGACAGCATACTAAAAAGCAGAGACATCACCCTGCCAACAAAAGTGTGTGTAGTCAAGGCCATGATTTTTCCAGTTGCAATGTATGGATGTGAAAGTTGGACCATAAGAAAGGCTGAGCGACAAAGAATTGAGGCCTTTGAACTATGGTGCTGGAGAAGACTCCTGCGAGTCCCTTGGACTGCAAGGCGTTCAAACTGGTCAGTCCTAGAAGAGATCAACCCCGACTGCTCTTTAGAAGGCCAGATCCTGAAGTTGAAACTCAAATACTTTGGCCACCTAATGAGAAGGAATGCTGGGAAAGATTGAGGGCAACAGAAGAATGGGACGACAGAGAATGAGGTGGCTGGATGGAGTCACTGAAGCAGTAGGCGTGAGCTTAAATGGACTCCAGAAGATGGTAGAGGACAGGAAGGCCCGGAGGAATGTTGTCCATAGGATCGCGATGGGTTGGACACAACTTCGCAATTAACAACAACAATAGGATGGAGAGTCATAACATACAAAACCAAAGAGTAAAGTATGCTCCTACAGCAGATGGAAAACCCTCAACTATTCCACCTTAGAAATCCTGAATCTCTTGTTTTCATCTCTTCTATAATACGCCTCATCAAAGTATCAACTGGAATATTATTAGATGAAAGAGATGTATTCTAATTTATTGATTAACCCTTTAACAGTCATGTGTATGAATGAATAAAGCTTTTCAGCTGCCCACAAAGTATAGCTTCATATATGCTGCTGAAATACTCTTATATACTCAATTATTACAGGTTCAAAAGCTTTATTGGACAGTTTGGTATACAAGAATGTCATTGATCTATGTGCATTATACTTTTCTCCAAATCCATGGAAATCAGTTTTTAATATCACTGAAAGTAGTACCAATATCTAACAACCTCATATAACAATTTATTTTTCTCTCACAGACAAAGACACTAGGAATCAATTCTCATATACATCCAGTTAATATATTTCTGATCTACTTTACTTTATATTTTAGTATGTTGTCTGACTTTTGACAGTGCTGATATAATGATACCTTATTCTTAATTTTATAGTAAGAATATCTGTAACCTAATGCTGCTCTTATTAAGTTACCTCAGTGACTACATATTACTTTACCATTGATGCAGCAAAAAATTGACAAATTAAATAAAAATACTTAAAAAATCACTATTTGGGGAAGAAAAGCCCTATCTCATAAATTCCCTACAGACTTTCTAGAACATTGCTCTAGATGGTTAAAGGTTTCCTTCAAGCTATAGTATGAGCTTTTATTAGAAACTGCACCTGTAAGCAGTAATCATGACACTCTGATTACTTTAAAGCACTGCTACTCAGATAATATATTACTTAGTCTAATAAATATTAACAGCCAATGCAATAGAAAATCATAGCATGAGAATCAAATCCTCAGCTAGTTTTCCTCAGAATCTCTGAATATGACAAAGATACAAAACAATATTGACACAATAAAAACCCTCCTTTTAAATTACTGTAATGCTGTTTCTTATAATCATGCTCAATATCTGTCTACTCAGATAATTACTATCAACACAGTCCTTGGAGATTCTGAAATGTTAAATTGTCTTTTAGTCAATGCTTTCCTGATTTTATCTCAAATGCAAATATGGGAAAAGAATATATTAAAAGGTGTATATTCCATTAGCAAATACTTTTAACTTCTATCTAAAAACAATAGTAATACTGTGCAGTATTGAAGGAAAATGTGTAGTGAAAAAACTACATGTAGAACCATGAAAATAAGTGAACAGAGCCAAGAAACAATGTATTTAATTTTAATAGATTTAATTTCTAGCAGGACTACCCAATTCTGTAATAGCTTTGTTCCCTATGCCATCTATCTGGTAAACTCGCAAGATCCATTTTGCTCGCCATGTACAGTACATGTATACATAACCCGAACTAGACTGTTGTCTCACTGTGTCATATAATATATGTAGGTATATGCATAATTCTGTATTTATTTATTTATGTTATATTTATGTAGTTATATTGGAGGTGGTGACCCTTTGAGAGATGCAATGAAATTTCATTTTAATCAGTGTACATTTAAAGTGACAATAAAGTTATTATTCTATTCTATTCTATTCTACACTATTCTATTCTATTCTTGCTATATATTTGTGTCACATTAAAAAATAGTGGCAAGTGATAGTACCTAATGTTTCAGGATCTACTTTTAGCCCTGCAATTATGCTCTGTCATTGTGAATACTATAAAGCACTTTGTTCTGTTTTGGTATTTTACCCACAGATTTAGACCATAGAAACACATGTTTCACTTGAGTTTCTACTGATCACTTTTTGAATTAAAATTTTCACTTACATATCCATGCATTCCTTTCAACAGATCAGATAGCCAGGCTAGATTTAGATTCAGGTAAAATCCAGTCTGAATCTCTGCAAATGCTTGTTCTATAAGATATTCCTAAAGGAATATAATTTTAATATAATTCCAACAATGGAATTATTTATATGGCCACCACAATTAACACAGGCATCTGAATGATTAGCAAGCAATAAATAACCACTTTAACCATAAAAAACAAGTTAAAAATACATGGAGCACATGGAGCATAACTCAAATGCTAACAGCCACAATAGTAAACTGGCTCACCCAATACTCAGGCCTAAAACTATGGGGAAGTTTTTAATGTATTACAGAAAGTCAGAAAAGCTGGGGCTATTCAAATCTTGGATGATATGCTGTTGCATAGGGCAGGGCACATCATTTTACATAACATGATGGAAAAGGCATGCCTCCTGTCTCCCATTAGATGACACAGAATGTGAACAATGTGTGCATATAATTTATGTTCTTATTTGTGGGTTTTACTTGTGAGTAGTGTGCACTGTGGACAGCACTTAATTTCATTGTGAGTTAAACAATGAAAATAAATTCTATTCTATTCTATTCTATTCTATTTAATGGAGGACATCCGTAGTATGCTCAGCCTGCCAGAACTCATTCACAACAAAGAAAACTTAAATATTTTTATGCTTGATTTTCTAAGCATGCATCTGAATGAATTTATATACTAAAGCAAATAATATCATCACATTTTCTAGTGAACATACAACTGCCACCTTCAGAACAGAAAATATCTGCATCCAACTCAATTCAAACTTAATGAGGTTATAGGTATGGAAGTATTACAAAATATTATAAAATATTTTGCATTCTGTGAGATAAAATTTAGATAATGTCTTTGAAACGAGAAAGAAGCAATTCTATTTATACTGAAGCATTTATGCAAAGATAAAATAATTCTAATAGGCAATATACTGCTTTTCAAAATCAAATGCTTCTTATTCTTTATCTACAGCACAAGCTTCTGTAAGAGATACATGCTCTTCTTTTATGCCTTAACAACTTCTGTATAACATTATAGGATCAAATAAAATCCTTTCCATATACAGATGAGAAAATAGTACAACTTACATAAGCATGTTTTCTACAGAATAAAAGACATGTTTGCATCTGGAATAATCAAAGTACTTAGAACTACTAATTCTCTGCCCTGACCTCATTTAAGGAAGGACAACACTGAAACATAATCCAAAAACTCAGTAACTATCAGAACCACTGTATTTAGTGGATGAACTGTTGGAATTAAAATACAAAATGGAAAATTATAATTAAATCATACCAATGTAAAATTAACATTTCCCCAATGTTCACAGAAACTGAGCACAGTTTCCCCATATGCCCCATTAATTTATGGAAAAAAACCCACTCGAATGGAGTAACAAAAATATAGAAAGACCCCAGAAAAATTTTCCTGTCAACTAATTTTCCGACAAAAATGGTCCTCTTTAACTTACGAACCTCCTCAGTTTCAAGAATCTTAGTCCGGCTAAGAAAAATAAAACCAATGAAAGAAATCTCTGTACACTCAGAGTAGAAAAATTATCTTTCTTCTGTTCCTAAACACATCCCCAACACCCCAGGCTTCTTACTTTCTCTTCATCCGACACCCGATCTTCGTAGTCCGCCATTTTGGCTTCTATCAGTCTAGCGCCCCACCTGTCACCCCGCGCACGGCACGTCGGGACGGGGGAACTGGGGGCGGAGCCAGAAATTCGCCGGCCGGATGTCAGCGGAGCGGATGTGGCCGGCTTATTCAGACGGTAATAACTGCCTTGTTAGGAATAGGGGGATGGGCGCTGCTTGCCGTACAGGCCTGCTTGGCGCCTGAAAGGGCCGTTTGAAAGAATCACTTTTGAAACGTGGATGCTATCCTATACCTTCGCTCATTAATGCCGCCTCCCCGGGCCCAATCCCGGTTTTTGCTCAACAAATCCCTACAGGATAACTGCATCGAACCACTTTGGTCCAATTGCAAGGCAGCGTTTCACATGAATAGTGTTTTCCTTTCCTTTTTAAAATTTCCTTCCAAATGCCTGGCTTTACGCGCAAGCAATAAACCTTGTGCTCAACCAAGTATATTAGTCCTGATTTCCTATCAGAAAAACAGATCGCTCCAATATATCAGCATATACCGGGCAAGGTATATCTTTGTTCAAAAGGACTTCCCGGTAACCACAGCGCGAGCAATCTCGATAAAACACAGGAGAGCTGCCTTGTCTGAAAGCGAATTCGAGAGTACGGGGAGCCGGCGAGGGCGCCTACCCGGCTCCCCACCCGCTGCGAGTGCCGGCTTCCATTAAACGGGACGAATCGGCCGCGGCGGCGCGCCTGGTTGATCCCGCCCTCCTGCCTCCTTCAGCCAGCCAGTCCTCAGCAAGCCGAGGGCGGGAGTCATGGCGGAGAGTAATCCTGGGAGTGAGGATGCCGCGCCGTCTCTCTCCCAGTCCCCTGGCCCTGGGCCCGGTCCTCGGCGATGGGAGCGGCTGAGGCTGGCTTCAGGGCCCTGGGCGCGGTCATTTGGCTTCCTGGCGGCGCTGGGCCTCCTTTATTTCTTGCGGGGCCCGCTTCGGCTGCGGGACAACTTAGTGGCAGGTAAGGGGACGGTCGCGCCGGGGTTGTAAAGCAACTCTGCGGGAGCAAAAGAAATAAGGTGGCAGGGATAAGGGAGCCTACTTGGGGGGGGGGGGTTCCTTGCAAAAGAACATACTTAGAACATAGATAGTAAGTCATGGATCATTTAAGCATTGTTTATTGAATTATTACAGTTGGCTTGATTTGCATAATATCTTTCTGTAAAAAAGCCTGAAGACCTGACTCTTCAGCTGTGCCTGTTGGACTGAGGGAGTTCCACCCTGGATGTGGCATACTGATCTTCCCCTTCGCTCTCTGCCTTCTCATCTCCACATCTTTTATTCTCATATCACTATATCAGTGTTTTCTTTTTCATTGCTTATTCTGTTGTTCCATTATTTTATGTTTACACTTTTCATTTATTATAACTCTCAAGATAACGGGTTTTTGGATTTAATCTTACCTAGATAAGGTCCTGAGTCTATTCACTAAAACATTACAGGGTATTTTCAGCTATTTATTTTAAACTATTGAATTTCTCAAAATAGAGCAACTTGCTATTAATTCTTAACACTGGCTGGGAGAATACAGTAAGTTATGCCATATTGTGATTTGTAAGGTTTTAGCCTCATGTGGTGAGTGAATCCAGACAGTTTGGTTGTTTAGCCATAGTTTATATTGTAATATGTATGAACAAGACCACTTGCCTTGATCAATATATTCATCATTTTATTCGCCTGAAGATTGTGAAATCCAACTTTGTTAACTGACAAGGCTTATCTTTTCATTGGCAGTGACTGTTTTCTTGAGCACACTGACTCCAAAATTCTATGTTGCACTTACGGGAACTTCATCTTTGATATCTGGTCTGATATTTGTAAGTATTTTTCTGCAATTCTGTGTTCCTTAACTAATCAAGAAATATAGTAGAAGTGAGCTACATTATTGCTTGAGTTCATAGGTCTTGAAAACACTGGAAGCAAACTGAGTATTAGAGGAATGCTTTACATATTCATATAAGACTGGTTTTATTTACCTCATCATTATATCCAAGAGGTTAGTTTCAGTTGTTGTTATACTTGAAACAGACTCATTGATATGAATCTGCCTTAAGTTAATCTTGTCTGGATCCCATCAGTTTCAATTGTCTAAAGTTAGAAGCAATCCTATGTTCATTAAACTGCAAATAATAACTTGGTTCCTGGCTTGCTTTGAGGATTAAACTATGTTTGCCCATGCTATTGTTACATTTCTGCTCTAAGCAGAGAAAATAATTTTAAAAACATGTTATATTTATGTATATAGCAATCGAGAAGGAGTTAGGTATCTTTTAAAATGTTACAATACTTGGACGATGGAGAACATGCCTAATATAATTTGATGTATCATTTCGTCAAAGCTGTAGATTTTTAAAATTAGATTTTATGCAAACTATGCTAGCGCTAAATTGAAAATACAGTGCATCTGATATACTAGCTGAACTCCAGATGGTGCTATTTGATAGAATAAAAAATATAGTCTTGCAAGAAAAAGGTTTATAAAATTATAAGAAACTCATCTGTGAGGAATTCTGCAAGTTAAATGGATTGTGATTTACTCAGAACAATTATTTGCTTAGATTATGTATATCTCATATGCTGACGCTCATTTTGTGAACTGGAAAATGAAGCCAATTATTAAATATATTTTCTTTCTGAAATGAAAAAGAAAAGTTTTGAGATACTGTATTCTGTTTTTATGTCTGATTAGCTGTGAGGAAATGGTCAGTTTTTTTCTGTTGAAGGGTAAATGAAAAGGCAGGATAAAAACATAACTCAATAAAAATGCCAAATCCAGTTTAAATATCTCTCTGTGCAACCAGTCATAATAATTGCATCCCACATATTTTTCTGTTTCTTGTTCCAGATATTTGAATGGTGGTACTTCAGAAAATATGGCATGTCTTTTATCGAACAGGTTTCTGTGAGTCATTTGCGACCACTCATTGGAGGGGCAGAGAATGCTAGTTCTGGACAGGCAAATTTTTCTGCTGCTAGTGGAGAAAATGAAATGAACAGACAAAATCTCTCAGGTGATTGTTTCTAATACTAGGTTTCTATAAATGATAGCAGTGTTCCAATATCTCAGGGGTTGCCACAATGAAGAGGGAGTCAAGCTATTCTCCAAAGCACCTGAAGGCAGGACAAGAAGCAATGGCTGGAAACTAACTAAAGAGAGAAGTAACCTAGAACTAAGGAGAAATTTTCTGAAGATTAGAACAATTAATCAGTGGAACAACATGCCTCCAGAAGCTGTGAATACTCCAACACTGGAAGTTTTTAAGAAGAGACTGGATAGCCATTTGTCTGATATGGTATAGGGTTTCCTGCCTGAGCAGAGGGTTGGACTAGATGACCTCCAAGGTCCCTTCCAACTTTATTATTATTGTTGTTGTTTTGTTATTATTAAATGTACTTAATAATTAGCCTACGGTATATATTTAAGTTATTTAAGTGATTTTTAAGGGACATACATATGCATGAAAAAGAAATGGAAAAGTTTTTGATTGGACAGTTAGTATTTGGAATCCTGAAAAATCTGTTAACTGCCAAACCATATGATTTGTGATTCAAAAATACTGCCAAGAAAAACTACATGAACTTATCCAGGCAGTGGCCAGGTCTCAAGACTGACTCAAAGGCACTCCAATTTGAAGGACAAGTTCTATTGACCCAGTTTAGATTTAGTGATTTCCCATTTTCAGGATTTAGAAAGATAGCTTTATTAAGTAAGGGTAGTTCTAGATTAATTTTAAGACTAAATTATCTTTTTCTAAAACAGAGTGCAAAGTATGGAGAAATCCACTCAATCTCTTTAGAGGAGCAGAATATAACAGGTACCCAACAATTCTATTTATTTTATACCTTATTTGTTTAAACAATAAAAAGAAAGTCACCAGTTCAAAACTATTTCTAATCCTGAGCATACCCAAATATATGGTATATTAATGTTTGCACAGGTAATCACATACAGATAATTATTTTCTTCATTTTTTGTGGAAATAATTGTTTGAGTTTATCATTTTCAGAATATTATAAAAAATAATTGTTTTCATGAATTCCAGTGTACTATTTTGAAATCCCAGCCTGTTTGGAAATTTATGATAAAGACTTATTCTAAATCTCTATTCTTTCTCTATTCTCTATTTATTCAATCTGGGTTATGCTGCACAGGAAAAAAAAAACCAAGCTATTCAGTTAAATATACTTCTTACGTTTCTGTTTCTTGTGTTACTATTTCCTTAAGGCTGAAGTATAATATAGGCTTGAGGACCCGATTAGTGTTAAGGTTAATGACACTAGTAGAAAATGGAAGATTGGGAGTCTTTAAGTCCTTAGACACAAAGCCAGTGCGATGATATTGGGCCATTCACATTCTTAGCCCTAAGAAGAAGACAACCTGGTAAATAAATAAATTAAATAAAAATAAACCAAATCTGAAAATGTTGCTAAGAAAAATTTAAAAGTACTTTCATTTAGAAAGAAACTAGTTCTGAATAGATGTACATAGAATTATGGAATTAATGATGCTTGTTTTTTTCTCTTGAAGATATACATGGGTGACAGGAAAGGAGCCACTAACATATTATGATATGAACTTATCTGCTCAGGATCATCAGAGTTTTTTTACCTGTGAAACAGACTCTCTTAGACCTTCAGATGCAGGTATAATTTATTTTTCTTTGTGAAAGAAGAAAAAAGGTAAATAAGGATATATTTTTATTGTTGAAACTGTTATTCTTCTTATAGTCTTTACTCCATCCATAGATGTAGTGTAACCATATGAAGGGAAAACCTAAGAAGCAACTCTTCTATTACTGTGTATTTATTGAATATTAAAATGTAGTCTTCATTTTTTCCCATTGGTGCAAACTTCCATTTTATAACGGGGGCAGTCTGGATGAGATGATTGGAGACCCATATTTTATATGCAGATCATCATCATCATCATTTTGGCCATTGTCCACTGCAGGATGAAGGCAATACTTGCTGATGTCATTGATCCATTTTGTTTTAGGTCTCTTTTGTGGATGCTTTTTATCAAGTAGGATCCATTCTATGACTATCTTGGTCCACTTGCCATCAGTTCTTGCTATGTGCTTTTTTCCATTTCAATTCTTGTAGTCTCGATGATATCATATACTTTCGTTTATTATCCAATTCATGTGCAGGTCTTCCTATCTTGTCTTGTAATGCAAAGCATGTACGGTATCTTTCCATGGCTCTTTGCACCACTCATAGCTTTTGTATCAATTGTGAGGTTAGTGTCCATGTTTCACTGGCATATGTTAGAGCAGGTGGCATACATTGATTGAAAACTTTTCAAGCATAGAGAGATGTTCTTGAAAATTATGCTTAGCTTGCTGAATGCCTGCCAACTACATTTAACATGCCGTTCAATTTCCTTTATTGTATCACCTTCCATTGAGATCCGTTGGCCAACGTATATGTATATGTAGTCTATTATATCTAGCTCTTCTCCAGATATATAAAAAAATTCTTTGGTAATTTATTAAACGTAACCTGGCTCTTTTTCAGGTTTATTTTTAAGCCAAATTATGCTTGCTTGTTTATGAATCACTTCAACATTTTTCTATGCATCGGGTATTTTTTCTTCTCTGAGGCAGGTCAAGTATAGTTTTGCTAGTATATTGTGTAAATTGTGACCACCAGCTTTCAGCATCTCGACTGTAACACAGTCATTTCCTGAAGCTTTGCCATTTTTTCATTGATTTATGTCAATAAAATAAATGAAAAATGATTTTAAACTCAGACTGGGCTAATTTCTTTTTAGGGCTCGTTCTCTCTTTGTCTGAATTAAATCAAATTAAATGAAGTTACTTTGCGGTCTATAAGATAGAATATTCTTGTAAAGTTAGTAGATTCGAAATAGTAAAGAATGAAAAATTGTACTTATTTACAAATGTCTTTTAAAAATTGAGCCTGAGATTTTACAACTTCTGATCATGGTATCTCTCTGTGGGAGTTATATATTACCTATACCTTTTTTAAAAAGAAAAGAGGAACAAAGGCACTCAGTGTTGTACACCAACTTTTTGGTAATTAATGCATCAATGTTTTCCAATTCATCTATCAATCACAACTTACTGTCTATGTTACTCTAGTGATAATGCCCATTGCTAGAAGAGCAGGGTTATATTAATGTAGTCTATTATCTCACTCACCAAGCCAAAGCTAACCTTTTGCTTCCAAAAAGTTGTTTCAGCATTTTTCACATTATTCTTGTTGGACAGTTGCATTTTTGTTTCCAAAGGAAACATATATGGATTTTGTTAATTTTCTTGCCAAAATTAAGGGCAACTAGATATTCAGGCTGCAATCTTGCATTTATTTGTCTTGCAGTTAGCCCCATGGATCTTAGTAGAGTTGATTTTGCCATGATTTTTTATGATTAGGGCAGGTGTAGGTATTTTTTTCAAGTCACAATCTTTTGCTTATAACCTTTTTCGCAATTAGAGATTTGTTTTTTGTTTTTTTAAAAAAATGAATTTAGCTATTATATCAGAGTACTACTGTATACTGAAAATCTCTCTCACTTACTTTCTTACAAGTGAGCGAGATCCTCAGCAAAGTACTCTGATATAATAGCTAAATAAGCTCAGTGCAAATCAAGAGAAAGAAACAAATTCAAGTCACCTAGTGCAAACTGCCTCCCTTGGTGGCGCAGTGGTTAGAATGCAGTATTGTAGGCTGACTTTGCCGACTGCCAGCAGTTTGATCCTTACCATCTCAAGGTTGACTCAGCCTTCCATCCTTCCGAGGTTGGTAAAATGAGGACCCAGATTGTTGAGGCACTATGCTGATTCTGTAAACCACTTAGAGAGGGCTGTAAATCACTATTGAAGTGATATATAAGTGAAATAATTACGGTCATATGTGTGTGTGTGAGGAATGTAATTGCTGCTTTTGTATATTTTTCTTAATCACTTTTTAAACATTTTCTTGTTAGAAAACATACATAAAATTTATTTGGACATTAACTTTCACAGAAATGTGTAGCATTGTCATAAAATTAGTTTTATTTTTCTGAAATGTGTTTCTTGCATGAATAACTAATTTTTACATAAATTATTCTGTTTAAATAGTTATGCAGAAGGCATGGCGGGAAAGGAATCCTCAGGCCCGAATCAAAGCAGCGTATCAAGCTTTAGAATTAAATAATGAGTAAGTTTGCAGTCTAAAGCAGGTGTGTCCAACCCATGGCTTGAAGGCCACATGTGACCCTGGACAGCTATTAATGTGGCCCCACAAGATATAATAAAAATGTACAAAAATAAAGGAAGCTTGTTTATCTACGTTAAATATTGTATACTTTATATGCGGCCCAAGACAGCACCTCTTTACTCAGTGTGGCCTAGGCAAGTGAAGACGTTAGGACATGCATGATCTAAAAAAAATTATATGAATTAAAATTCTGAATTTTAGAATTACATTTTAAATGTAAGGCATAAATATAATTTTATATTATCTAGTCATATGAGCAGACTTAAATGATATGTGTAATAACCATTCTAATTTCTTGAAAGTTGCCCCATGTTATTCAGTTCTTTAAATAAGATACAAGATTTTTTTAGAGGCTGAACTCTTCAAATGAAGTATGAAGTGATAATGTGAAGATACTAGATCTGTTTCTGTGGTTTAGTTCTTAAAAAGAAAGAGTACAGTGGAAGTAAATATGTGTTTCTTGGCTATGTTGTGAACTAGGAAAGCACATGCCTTTCTCAGACTTACTATAAGTTTCCTATTCAGAAAACCTTAATTGCTGTTATTATAATATCCAAATTCAAAATAAATCCTAAGCTAGTTTTTATTTAAACACAATATTTCATTGTTTATTAAATTCATATACCATCCATCTCACTGCAGAAGTGACTCTGGGCAGCTTACAAAATTTTCCCTTCCCTTTCAGCTGTGCCACAGCATACATTCTTCTGGCTGAGGAAGAAGCAACTACTATTTTAGAAGCTGAAAAATACTTTAAACAAGCTCTGAGGGCAGGAGAAACAGTTTATAAAAAGTCTCAGCATAGCAGTTCACAAAATCCACACCATGAGGCACAGCTTAGTAAGTATTGTTGCACAAATTGTTTAAAATTGGTAGATTTGAGATTGGTCTCACTGTAATCCTTAACACAAAAACTAATACTTTTTAAATAATAAGGAGTTAAAACCAATATAACACAAAATTCTAAATCATAGATTACTGATTACTGTGCATTTTAATTTTACTGCAACAGAAAGCAGTAAAATTGATCTGACTGAGCAACCTATGTATGTTCATTTGACAGATAATCTGTCAAGCCCAAAGACGACATAGTGAAATCCAGTTGAGTCCAATGTTTTATTTGCTTCAGTGTTTATTTGCCAAACTAAAGCTCTACCCTAATAGATATATCCTAAGAGATTCTAGGGAGTAGGTACCCTGAAGTTTTTTCCCCTCTCCGATTCATCTTGGGACTGCACAGTGTATTAGTTTGGGCTTTTCTCTGAAATGTATTGCCTTTTTCCTGGGAAAGCTGCAAAGATTCCCCTCTGCTTCTTCGGGTGCACATTCCATCACATCTTACTCAATGATTCTTTGTTCAGCCAACATTCAAAGTTACAAAAGCGATGAATGAATGGTTTTTACACCTGGTTCTCAAAGTTTGGCCATTAGAGCACTGCTGTGGTCATGTGATCAAAATTCAAAGGCTTGGCAGCACACCCTGGTCCCTTGCACTCTACAGATCATGTCACCTTGTGCTCTGCCACCCCCAGTTGACCTTCACTGTCGTCTTGCTCCTGGTGCTGATGAAGCACACCCAGCCTGACCCTTTGTGAGGCAGTTCCTGGCCATGCAAGACCTCCTTCTTGAGGTTGCATGTAGTGATTTCCTTGCAAGACCTTGGGAAGAAGTAGCTGGGGTTTGTACCACATAGTTAGGCTAGACTGCTCGGGCTTTGTGGGCCGGGATAACTGGGACTTTGTACTGGGCCATTGAAGCTGTTTGCATGCCCTACCTGCCCCCTGTCATCAGTCACTCCTGTCCAGGACCTTCCTGCAACTTCCTGCCAAATATCACATTGTCTTTGCTTGTTGTAAGCCAGCAAGAAGTTTGTAGATCCTCATTTAACAACCTGTGAGTCTCACTTAATGATGGCAGCAGGGACTGCCAGGATTGCCATAGTTAAGTAATGCAGCCATAGAACGTTCTGCTTTATTACCACAGCATTTGATACAAATTATCGTTATTGACTACCTATAGTCAAATTTAATGCAATGGAATTACTCCATTGTATGAGATTTCAACCTTAGTCCTATGTCCCAAATGTTACAGTTTGCAACTAAAATTGCAGCACTTACATGAAATGAAACAGCCAAAAAAGGTTCTTCCATTAATGGAATAATAACAGTGTAAGTAATTTATATCAGTGCTAAGGGTACTTTCACATATGAAAGCATGTATATAGTTTCATTTACCCATTCAGAGCTTTAATTTCTATAAGGAAGTCTTTGTGAGTAGCCCAGAGCACATAAGTAAATGCTTCATTAATTTTTCCTCTTTTTATCATGGGACCGAAATGACAAACAGTTGAATTTTTTTTCTTCCCTCTTTTGTGAAATGAAGATAAAAGGATTGTTGTACTATATTATCTGTAGCAGTTCTGGGCAAGACAGTGTTTTTTTTTACTCTTTATTCTCAGTACTTCAAGTTTGTAGAAATGAAGTTAACCATTTACAAACTCTTTGAACAGATAAGATTTTTTACTTTCTTACTAAAATCTTATCCTACTATTTGTCAAAAAAAAATCCTGCATTACTGTACTTAATTTATAGCATCATGTAACTCTGGAAAGTTCATTGAAATAACTCAATTTTGGTTTTAATAGTACATTGTCCTATCCCCAGTGCTATCATTAAAGAGTTAGCTAACTAGTCTAAGTATGGTATGTACTTACTGACTTTTTTGCAATAAGGGATCAAGATTACTACCGCCTTTTCTGTTTCTGTTTCTCTTCTTCTTAGTATTTTATGCCATGGAATGTGATATCTTACTTTTGAAGTCATAAAAAGTTCTCAGGCTTCAATTATTATTACAATGGAGAAACAAATATGATTTATTGATTGGATGAGAGGTTGTTAGCAAGTTTATGATTCCATAGTAACAGGTTTAGGAACCCTTTGGATTTGCTGTATTTCATATTGGATCAGAATCTCACATGCCTGTAGACTTCCATTTTTCTTTCAGAGAATGTAATGTTCTCTTTCTCGTGTATGTCCAAATGGACACATTATTAACTTGATAATACTTAAGTTTACTAAGGAATTATTTCCATTTTAAATATATTAGACAAGATCATTGAATAATATCTCTTTTATTTTTTAAAAAACATAATCTTTCTATATAGCAACATCTGCAAAAAAAAATATTTTCCCCCCAATGTAAAAGTATTCTATTAGAATTATATATATAATAAGTATAAAAAATGAAAATAAAATATCATATTTACTGTATTCTCTGCATTTTACGTTTTTATGGTCAGTAAGTATATTTAGACAAAATAACAAAATATACTGTACATATGTAAATAAAAACTCAGAGACAATGGTTACTTTTGCTAACAATACATTTGCTGAATCTCTTTTCAGGAAGAGATACCAATGTATTGGTTTACGTGAAAAGAAGACTAGCTATGTGTGCAAGAAAGCTTGGAAGAATTAAAGAAGCAGCAAAAATGATGAGGGATGTAAGTAAGATATTTGCACAGAAGAGTTCAAAGAAATACTGTGTTTTTCATTTTCTCATTTTCAGTTGTTTTAATGTATTAGGTAAAAAAAGATCTGTAGTGTATTGTGATTAAAAATAATTATAATGATGGTCTAAATTTGCATAGTAAGGGCATGTAAATTGAACTCAAAACATTAATAGGATGGTCAAATTAATCAGTTCTGAATATGAAAGAGATGTAATTAATTTGAAATACCGTATATACTCGAGTATAAGTCGACCCGAGTATAAGCCGAGGGACCGATTTTCCCACAGAGAACTGGGAAAAATTGGTGACCCGCGCATAAGCCGAGGGGGCATTTTGGCTGTTCCTCCCTGNGCCACCCCCGCCCCGCCGCCGCTGACTCGAGTATAAGCCGAGGGGGGCATTTTTCAGCCCCAAAAATGGGCTGAAAAACTCGGCTTATACTCGAGTATATACGGTAACAATTTTTGAAATTATTATACTTCTATCTGCAACAGTCAAAATGACTGTTGTCAGCTTACAGTCTTCATAACTTGAAAATGAATTTTTGAATTCACAGTATGTTGTGCACCATTATTGCATATGAATATTTTTAAAAAGTGATTATAGATTATGGTGGCCTCTACCTTTGATTTATTTGGATGTTAAGGGTTATCTGGATTCATTTCAGATCATCTTCACTCTAGGACTTTTCCAATTAGATGACTTTGCTTGTTTTAAGAGCTGAATTGGGTTTTTGTGACTTAGTGCTGGGTTAAATGAAATCACAGCTTTTTTTTTGTCTTGTACTGATTGGGCTTCTGTGTGGTATAGCTGCATGTTGGAAAGAACTTTTACTTACCTTTTCTGCCTCTCAGCTTCTAGCACTAAATAAAAACCTTGCAAATTTGTATTGTCTACATTTCTGCACTCTACACTCATTGTTACCAAAACTATAATTGTACATAAAAATATTTTCCTCCCCCTTGTTTATAGTTAATGAAAGAATTTCCTGTCCTAAGTGTATTGAATATCCATGAAAACCTCCTAGAAACACTTCTGGAGTTACAGGCTTATGCTGATGTCCAGGCAGTTCTAGCAAAGTATGATGGTAAGAATGTATAATAATTATGGAGTTTATGTTTCTGCATTGGCCATAAACAGTGGAAAAGGGAGGGGTAGAAAGATTGTGTAGGAGAGCAAATTAGGTGATGGTGATTGTTTCAAGTAAAGGAAGTTGTTGTACGTAAATGAATGTTGGGAACACATATTTATGAAGCAAAACCACTGGCTGTGTAGATCTTTAATATTCCAGAAAAATAAAAGTTATAGATAATATGAAGTTGTGAAACAAAATAGTAATTTGCAACTGGTTCAAAAGAGTAGAATATAGATCATGTGCTTCATTGTTATACCTATAATTCAAATAATAACAACATGTGAAATTTGTTTTAAAACTACATATGGCCTACAATTGTAAAGTCCGTACTCCGTAGGTAGATCACTTAACATAACAAAAGCTCATTAGATCTACTGCTTTGGATCTCTGAATTTTTGTTGTAGAAACCCATTAGTAATTATTACTACATTTATTGCTACTGCATTTATATCCTGACTTTTCTCTTGGATGCTCAAGATTGTATATACAGGTAATCCCCGAGTTAAGAGTGTTCACGTAACATTTGTTCGAAGTTATGTGATGAACGCCTCCCTACTGTTTACGAGCAAGTCTCCAAATTACGAATATTGCAGTACAAGGGCTGCAATATTACGAGCAACTTCAGTGATGCTGCAACATTCACCCTATTTCCCCCCACACTCCTCACAACTGCTTCCCCCTCCCTTCCTGCCACGCCGGACTCACCTTGCAAAAAGCCTCTCTGCTGCGGTTTCTTTCCCTTTGAGGGAGAGGAGATTCGGCTTGGAAATGTTTGTCATGCCGAGAATGGAAGTTTCTGGAGTTCGTGAGTGTTTGAAGTTGCGCCAAATCACGGACCTCAGAAACTTTCATTCTCTATGCGAAAGGTACTTGTCTCCTGCTCCTGCTCCCAACTCCTTTCTGCCTCACGGCAGACCTGAAACCTTCAACTGAGGGAGAAGGCCAGACCCCTCGCGCCTGCATCCAGCCCGGTGGAACTTGCCGCGCTGGGGGAGAAAGTGACCCCATTGTCCCCGGAGCCTCGGAGGCTACAAGCAGCCCAGAATGGAGGTCGGGGGGGGGCTTCTGCATGCAGCTAAGAAGACCCCTCCAAGGGCTGGATCCAACCTCCAGAGGCATACAGAAGCCCACTTCCATTTCTGTTCTGGGGGCGGCAGCCACGTTGCTCTGGAGTTGGGGGGCAGCAGGGGGTAGGCACCGCAAACAGCGTGAGACTTCAGGCACCCATTCTCTGTGAAAGAGGATTGGTGCCTGAACTCATGCGATATTACGGCACTCAGGGGCTTCCATTGACTCTCCTGTCCCTCAAAAGCAGGAACCACGGCAGAGAGGAGACGGATCTTTTCAAGGCAAGTGAGTCCGGTGTGTCAAGCAGGGAGGGGAAAGCATGAGATATCTCAATGGGTCGAGGAGACCTTGGGGGCCTGTTCCATCACTAGGCCCCCTATGGCCTTCCCTACCCTGAGATACCTCATATGCACTTACGTTTTAATGAGCAAGGGAATGATCTCGTTTGAGGTACGAGATTCATTCTACAAATTTTCAAGTTACGAATGGAATGTGCAGGCTCCATTACACTCATAACTCGACTACCTGTAATTTTTATTTCTACGCCATGAACTGGTGAGCTAGGTTAAACTGAGAAAAAAATGACTGCTCAGGGTCACTTAGTGAACTCTGTGATCAAGTTGGGACTTGAATCTCTTCAGTTCAAAACTGAATAGCTGTAGGTTTTAAGCCTTGCTTCTGCCATGAATCTAATGATCTTCCGTTGTTAGTTTTGGATGGGTTAACACTTCCTCAGACATGGTGCTTGATCTGGAATCTTTCTGAACTAGTGCCTTTAGCAGGTGGAAGCTGTGACCAGGTAGGCCTTTGCACAAATGTATCCTATGTTCCACTTGCACTCATTCCTAGATTGGGAGGCACTGGTCATGGTCACTCATACCCTAATCACCTGCCAGTTGGGTTATTGCAGTGCCCGCTACATGGGGTTACCCTTAAAAAGCATTCAGAACCTTTAGTTGGTCCAGAATGACGCACACATGCAGTATTGGAGGGCCCATGAAAACACTACTGCCAGATTATCTGTGCTGGGTCCCAGTATGCTTCTGAATTTAATTCAGAGTACATGGGGTAAGGTCATTTGCATGATTGCAGTGCAAAAGATTTCTCTCTCTTACACTAAATCAGGGGTCTTCAAACTTGACCCTTTTATGATTTGTGGACTTCAACTCCCAGAATTCCTCAGTCAGTGTGCCTGGCTGAGGAATTCTGGGAGTTGAAGTCCACAAGTCATAAAAGGGCCAAGTTTGAAGATCCCTTCACTAAATCCAATAGAGTGGGTCATATTTTGGGTTCCCTTGGTAAAATGGTATCACCTGATGGGTTCTTGGAAGCCAGGTTTCTTGATTATAGTACCTGCCTTATGGAGTAGCTTTGTCCTATAGATTTGGAAGGCCCCAATCCTGAGGGGCTTTTGGAAAGCCATGAAGACTTGATTTACCCTAGGTGTTAGGACCCGCTTCAATACCTTATCCCAAGAAAGCAGAACTCATGGAAGCAAGCTCTTCCAAAAGGAACTTTTATTAGGAGAGGCTGATAGCAGCCATACTAGACAGAGTCTGAGGGTTTCCTGCTCAGATTGGTGATTTAAAGTGTCCCCAAGCAAACTCCACCCTATAGTTCATCCGGACAGTTCAAACCGGCCAATTTCCAGGTGTTAAGTCCATCGTGGGAAAGGGAAGATAACATCAGGCCGGTTCTGGTTGGAACTGCGATGGTCACCTTCTCTGAGAGCTGAGAGTTAAGCCGGTTGCCGGATGCTGCATTCCTTTCTACCTCCCCCTTTTCTAGTTGACAGTTTAAGGCAGCGGTTCTCAACCTATGGGTCGCGACCCCATTTGGGGTCGATCGACCATTTCACGGGGTCGCCAAGCAAGGCTGTCCGCCATTTTTTCCCCTTTTCCGGCGGGTGCCTTACCTCCCTTGAGCTGGGCCAGCTGGTGGTCGGCCTGCTCCATCTCTGCTGCTTGCCAGCTACGCCTCGGCCGGTGCAGGGGGTGGAACCACGCATGCGCGGTGCTCCCAGGCAGGGAAAGTCCTCGACTTACTACCGGTTGGGTAGTCCTCGACTTACGATCGGTTTAGTTCTCAACTTACGACCGGTTGGGGGTCGCGGCATTAAAAAGGTTGAGAACTACTGGTTTAAGGAGAAGAGTTTACAGAGAGAAATAGTGTAGGAAAATGAAGTGTTACATTGTAGCAATAGAGGAAGCTAAGGCAATAAACCCTCGATCATTCCCCCCTCCCCTCTAGGACTATGGCAGAACCCAGGGAGAGAAGAGAATGGAATTTGGATCAGAGGAAGAAGCAAGGAAAGTATGAAATCAGACAGATATGGGTTCTGACATTAGGCACTGTTGTAGGATGCCAGTGGAATTAATGGAGCCTGGTGCCTTTAAAGGGACATAATGATAAGGTGCTTTTTATAGTGGCCTCAACTTATTTTTTTAAATGATTGTGTTGTATATTGTGTTTTATATTCTATTCAATCACTCAGAGTTTCATTGTGAGATATGTGGATGTATAAATTTGTAAAAGCAATCAATCAGCCTCCCCAGCACAAATCTAATATGTTCACTGCATTACTATCTTGGATGAATATACTAAATGTAGAAATATTACAATAGAATTAGAATAGAATAGAGCTGGAAGAGACCTTGGAGGTCTTCTAGTCCAGCCCTTTGCTCAAGCAGGAAAACCTATACCATCTCAGACAAGTGACTGTCTAGCCTCTTTTTAAAAATCTCCAGTGATGGAGTGCCCATGATTTCTGGGGGCAAGCTATTCCACTGGTTAACTGTCCTCACTGTCAGGAAGTTTCTCCTTAATTCCAGGTTGCTTCTCTTTTTGATCAGTTTCCAGCCATTGTTTCTTGTCCTGCCCTCTGGTGCTTTGGAGAATAATGTGACCACCCTCTTCTTTGTAGCAGCCCCTCAAATACTGGAATACTGCTATGATGTCTCCCCTATTTCTTCTTTTTAGTCTAGCCAAACCCAAGTCCTGCAGCCGTTCTTCGTATGTTTTAGTCTCCAGGCCTTTGATCATCTTAGTTGTTCTTCTCTGAATTTTTTCCAAACTCTCAACATCTTTTTTGTAAAATGGTGACCAAAATTGGTTTCAGTATTCCAGGTGTAGTCTTATTAGGGTTTTATAAAGAAGTATATGATTGATTTTTGTCTTTCAGATTTTAATCCCATATATCTAATATATAGATAATTTCCTGTATAAATTGCTGTTTGGGGAAGGAATGATTCTGAAATGTTTCTTACTTTAGGATCTAAAGACAACAATTTATTGTTCCATAGATATCAGCCTTCCAAAATCAGCAGCAATATGTTACACAGCAGCACTCTTAAAAGCGAGAGCAGTTTCAGATAGGTAAGTGAAATATTTGATAGGCATATTGATATACAGTAAAGCAGTTATAACATGTTTTCATTGTTACATTCAATGAAAAATCATGGCAGTTTTGCTTCCAAGTTGATATAAAGGATAACATAAATCAAATTTCTTTTGCCCACTTTTTTTTAAAAAGAGGACAAGTGATTGTTTCAAATGATTGTTTTAAGTGGTTGTTTAGAACTGAATATTATGGGTATCAACTATATATGGCCACAACTGAATTCAGGAGTAATTTGGTAGGAAAGTAAGATGTAATGACAAAGATTGGGTGCGTTTAAAAAAAGAGGAAAATTTAGCCAATCTTTGTCATTACACCTTACTTTCCTACTAGCTTACTCCTATTGGAATATATGCAATATATAGGCAGATGAATTCAGTTGTGGCCATATATAGTAGATACCCATAATATTCAGTTCTAAACAACCACTTAAAAACTTTATTATGGGAAGTGGCAAAGCTAATTACAAATATTTGGTTGTCTAATTTCTTATTGTGAGTTAGCAGTGGCCTTTGCCAGAGGTATACCATCTTATTCAAGTCAAGGATAACATATATCCTTTGAGTGAAATGCTGCGAACAATGTTCAAAAGGGGATAAAACTCGGTTAACATAAAATTGATTTGCTTAAATGTAAATGTAAATAAAATGACTTAAATAGTTGATATGAATACTCTCCATATATTTAAAATTAAAATTCAGAAGAAAATTTTGGAGGACTTTGGAGGCTACACCTAAAATTTTGTGTGCCATTTTGCTTTCTGTGGATATAGGTAGATGGTTGAGACTACACAGAGTAATTAGAAATTAAGTTTGATTTAGCTTTCCTGGCTAGTTCAGCTGTATATTGGGTTTATTTAGTGTTTTGCAATTCTATCTATTTATGGTTATTCAATAGGTATTTATTCAATAACCTATTGGATAGCCATAAATAGGTAGAATTACAAAACACTAACCATACTTAATACACAACAATGGTTGGTTTCTTATAACATATTAAGCCAAACAATCTTTATTAATATTTGTGGAATTTGTGAGGCAAGGAAAATTTCGTGTATCTGAGATACTCATACATTTTTATCTGGCAAGTAGAAACAGTGCTTAGTTCTTTATTGGATTACAATTTTCTGGTATAATGATATTTATATTACTAATTTGAACTTTTGCTCCTATCATATTTTGTAATATAACAAACTTTGGAATGTTGCTGTAGGTTTTCTCCAGAAACTGCTTCTAGAAGGGGACTTAGCACAGCCGAAATTAATGCTGTAGAAGCAATACATAGAGCAGTAGAATTTAACCCTCATGTACCAAAGGTAAGTACATCCCTAACCATCCTTTGCTTCCCGCCACAGACAAGTGTTGATTAAATGCCGATAACATTTAACTTAAGTTTGAAAGCTTAGTGAAATAAAACTATTTTCACTGATCTTCTAAATACCAAAATAATTTGTGTTTTATAATTTTTAAATCATTTCTCTACATAATATATTGAGCATGAAATATTATTAGGAAAATATTATGAATCTGTAATATAGTAAAAAAAAACAGAAATAAACAGCGGGAGAATAACTGGATGCATATAGCATTAAATAGAAGTTGAATAAATTTCATAGAAGTTATTCCCAAATATCTGAGAATATTGTTATGAAGCAAAGAGACATTTTTTTATTGGATCTCTGAAAAGATTTATGCTTTTTTGTTATCAATCTGGCTAGTCAGCCTATCTCAGTGATGGCGAACCTTTTAGAGACCGAGTGCTCAAACTGCAACCCAAAACCCACGTATGAATTGTCGAGTGCCAGGTGGGTGTGGTCCATTGGCTGGGTGTGGCCCATTGGCTGGGTGTGGCTGCAGTGGTAACAGCAGACTGGGACTAAAAAGTTCAATCAATCAATTCCAACTTTGCAAGATCTTTTTTTTCCCCGCGAAAAGTTGAAATTGACTGATTGATTGAACCTTTTCTTTTTTTTGCACACAGCGGCGGAGGCCTAAAGCGAAAAGGTTTTATAAAACCCAGTTGAAGGCCTAGGACTGGGGCAACGGCACGCATGCCCACAGAGAGGGCTCTGAGTGCCGCCTCTGGCACCCGTGCCATAGGTTCGCCACCACTGGCCTATCTAATTGAAGCCTTTCTAAGCCTTTCTGTTAAGGGACTCACTTGGCCATAGCAGGAGAATTATAAGGGAAGAATGTTTCATCCAACCTTAATAACTCTTCAGACATGCCTGAAAGGAAGGATTTAGTTAGGAATTCCTAACTTTAATTAGGAGTTCCTTTGCGTAGCCATGTAGTCATTAACAATTAAAACATTTTAGTTTTGAAATGATAGAAAGGAGGAGTGAATAGCTGCTCAGTAGTGAGAATAGCTTCCATTATATAGTAGCTGCTTCTCCAGCTTCAACGTTAGATTGCTCACACTATGCCATAACAGTGCCAAGCAAAATAATCCAATCCTATGTTGGTAGCTGATCGTATTAACAGAGGGAAAGCTACTTATCTAATCAGAGATAAGCTGATAATAGATGGCAACTTGAAAGTATAGGAAGTCCAGTTCCAAACTACATCTCTGTAGAAAAATATTGTCTTATCGTGAGTCAATACTGTTTAGTCAACTGAAGTTGAAGGCTAAATAATCATGAAAGCACTATCAAACTAAATGTGATTATGCCACTTATTGTGGGAATAGAGAACTTTACAATAAAGCCCATTAAAATCACCAGATTAAATCCAGGATACAACATGGGCAAAAAGCATTAGGAAGAAGTAGAACCACCATAACACTCTCCACCATAACACTCTCCAACACTGAAGGCTATTAAATTATCAGGAAAGGCCTGTGTGCAGGCATAACCAGTATTTTCCTAGTGCTATATCCCAGTCTGAAATCAGACTGGAAAGGTTCTGGATAATCTGCTTTGTTTAGGAGCCTTTGGAACTGAAAGCTGATTACCTTCTAAGATCAAAGTAGGACAAAAATCATCAAATTTTGCTGACTCAAGCAAAGATTTCTTAGGGTTGGGAGGAACACTGCCCCTTTTGAAACTGGTGAGGTAGCTCCTTCTCTCAAGAATGTATTTACCAGTGCATCAATCCCTCCCATCTTAGGAATTGTTTATCCCTCATTGATACGTCCAAAGGGTTCAAAAGAGTATTGAGCTAGAGCTTAGATCCCAATATAGTTAAGCAAGAATTTAAAGAAACATTTGAAAATAATGCAGTTGGCACCAGGCTATCTAAGGGTAGAAATGTTCTTTTAAAATATATATTTTCTTTTGGTGTGTTATTTATTTGGCTAAAAGTTGCATCAGGCATTTTTCAGTGGATTTTATTTTTTTAAAATATATGTGCTACTATATGTTCATTTTTCTTATTATATAATGAATAGATCAGGAAATAAAAAGGGGAAATTCACATATTTCTTTCAGTCTTTTTCTTCAGCTTTTTATGTCCCTGATGCCCCTTTTAACTCCAAAGTAAGTCCATGAATACAGATTTCTTGTAGATAAGTGAGAATATGGGGAACATGCACAGATCTTTCATTGTCCATGTTGGTGAAATAGGGCTATGCCCATGAGTGAAATACGAGCACAGCATGCTTATGTTTCATAGAGTTATCTACAGCCGTGATATAGCCACAAAATCTACTCACAAAAAATGCAAAACTGTACAAATTTCATGTTTTATTTATTTCCTGCCTCTATTATTTTTATAAATAACTCTAGGCAGCAAACATACATAGCACTCCTTCCTCTTCTTATTTTTACCACAACATTCCTATAAGATCAGAGAGAGTAACTGGCTCAAGATCACCCAGCAGTATTAGGAGAAATGTGCAAGAAGATAAAACAAAACAAAATTAAGTGTCCTTCATTGGTGAATAAATGATGCCACAAAATATTTCTACAAATTGGCTATTTAACTCTTGTTAGTGCAATGGTACAATATTGATAAAGGAATTTTGGGAATATGTAACTCCTTAAATGTGTGAAAAATTTATCAGTAACTCTTCTGGAAGCAGAATTGGAGCTAATGTAGAAACATTTGCTGATCCGACTTATGCAATGGTAATATTTTCATGTAGAAAAACAAAACAGTATAAATATTAACGTCAATAATAATATTACCATTTACAATCAAACTCATTTTAACAGACCTAGTCAGAATTTAACTTGAAAAGCACCCTATTTCAAAAGTGCTTCAAATTTAGTAATTAAACAAAAGCCTGTGTTAATTTCTTCAGTTTTTGTAACATACATTTATTATTTCTTAATCCATTTACCAACTAAGATGGTTTTTATTTTTTGTAAAATTTCATAAAAAGGTGTGTATAAAATAGTGTATAAAAAGGTGAAAAGGTTGGAGCTATAGTAGGTTAGATGGGTGGGCAATTTGTAATGAAAGGTTGTGATATGATAGATGTGCACACAGAAAAGTGGAAGTTTACCATTCATTTCTTTGGGCTGAACTTTTTGTGATCTCTGTCCCCTCTTACTATTATGAGATTAGTCAGACAGCTAGGTGCTGCCATCTAGTGGGGCAAGACTAACTTACTTTCAAGTCATAGTTCTGCAACTGTATTTATATCTGCCTATCTGTGTTAATGATGTGTCATTAATACTATTAAATAGGTAATATAATTTATAGCAGTTCATTTTTAAATTATCAGTCACAGGCTACAATTTATCTTTAAGCAATTAGCAAACTTCCAAACTCTTAAAAGAAACACTGAAGTTATGATAGCATAATTTTGTTGCAAAGTCTGCAACAGACACAAGAAAATCTTGAATGATTTGTATATATGATTACACTTACAAGTGGGCAAATAACTGTAAATCCCAGTAACCATAACTTTTTCATAACCATTATGAAAAAACATTATTTCTATCATTGGCAGTTCCATGGTTATCCCAGTATGTAAAGCAAAGGATTCTATCCTTTGTATAAGGGAACTATAAAAATAATTTATATAAATACATTATTCTTAATTATTTTTCCTACAGTGAGCATACTTGAAATACTTAGATTTATTTTAATATATAGAACTGTAACAGATTAAAGCCTGTCTATAAAATTTGTACTGCCCAATGGAAAAAAAATGAGAAATGTTATGCCCAATTTATCTTTTCCTAAATAAATGTGTATACAGTAATTGGAACTTCAGATAGCCATGGCTGATCATTGATAATATATTACCCTTGTAGCCTTAGTAATAGAAGGATGGCTTATCCCTAGACTTAATCCTCTTTTGATAATCAGGGTGTCCAAATAGTTCTTTCCTTGATGGTTTGACTTTATTCATCTAGTCTTCTCTTTCCTTGATTATGCATTGGGAGAGCTAATTGTTATAAGGATTTTCTGCTCCCTTGCATGACTGATCAAAGGCACAGAAAATTCATTTCAGGCAGTCTCATTTTTTCTAGCCTCTGCCTTTAGGGTGGAAGACTGGGATGTATTATCATTATCCAAGAATTACAGTAGGTGTCTGTCCTATTTCTTCAGGACTACTGTGTCTTTGAGGAGATTAATATGTTTTATGTACTTCTCACTGGCATCACATATCAAGAAAACCAGTGTGTCGTCGTAATAATTTTATATTCTTATCTAGTAAATCTTTCAGATTTCAGTTGTTGTATTATTGTGAGTTATATGTCAAGAGGCTGTGGAAAATAACATATCAGAGTTTTTAGACCCACTGTTATCTTTGATTAAAATATTATTTTAATTAAAGGTAACTGTGGGTCTAAAAACTATAAACAAATACGAAGCTAATAATTTCATGGACTAAAAACAATTATGGCAGAGATTGGATATTTGAAGCTACTTTCACACTATGACAATGTGTGAATGATTCCTTACTGGTTTAAAAAAATAATCAAGAAGGATTAAATAGGATTAGTTAAGAGTATTGCCCTCCAGTAAATTGACTCAAGCACTAAGAGAAGAATCAGTCAGGCAGTACATTTGGTTTGACCATCACAGCTTTGGCTACATTCCTTCAAGAACCAGAACGGGGAAAGTTATTAAATAATCTCATTGTTTGTGGTATCTGCAAGCAACAACTTGGCTAAGTTCTTAGAGTTTTGTGGCAAGTCAGCAGAAATATTGGGTACAATCAAATATTGTATCTAATACTTCATATTATCAAATATGAAATTGATTTAACTATTAATAAATGGAATGGGCTAGTTCATAAATTGTAGACATTAGTTAATTGAATGGTTACAAATATTTGGACTTTCCTCAAGGACATATTTCACATACATAAAATATTTTCAGGGCATGATTGTAGTTTTTGGGTGAAAAGAATCCAAAATAATGCTGGAAGGAGATAATTATTAGTGTCATTTACAAGTGAATTCTAAGTATTTGGAAATAATTTATTATATGCAGTTATCTTCCATTCTGCTTCAGGTTTAGAATCAACAATGAACTCAATAAGAAAGTATCTTCAGTTGCAATCTAGGACAGGAGGAAGGACATTGCAGCAAAACCATCTGTTTTTAAATTTGCTGCTTTTTTCAACATAGGAATTGGAGACTTTATTTATTTATTTATTTATTTATTTATTGTATTTATATCCCGCCCTTCTCCTTTCGGACTCAGGGCGGCTGACAAATGATAAAAAGCTAACATATTACACCTAGTTAATTTGAAACCTACTTGGAAATGGATAACTCCAACTAAAATGAGCAAGCACTATACTTTTGTAATCGTCTCTAACACTTGCATTACCCCTAGTAAACTGCTTGAGCTGCTATTCTATTTTGTACACAAACCACTGTTTTATCAAAATTTTACCAGGGTAATATTTTTGGAGGCGCGTAATATAAATCTTTATCAGACTTTTGCACAAAGCAGTTTATGCAAAACAATACTGTTTTCAAATAAAATATCCACATTAAATTGATATGGTCTTTCCTACTGTGAAAGATTCACAAAAATGCCTTTTTAAATTTGAATTTGCCAAATAATTCACATTTTCTTACAATTATTGCTTTCTCTTTCTCGTACACAAATAAAGATTAAACTAAATTAAAAATACTTACAAAGAAAACACTTAAGTGTTATGTTCTATATAGTTTCTCATGACTTCTCGTTTTTTTCTTCCAGTACTTGCTAGAAATGAAAAGCTTAATTTTGCCTCCTGAGCACATTCTGAAGCGTGGGGACAGTGAAGCAGTAGCCTACGCATTCTTCCATCTTCAGCACTGGAAACGAATAGAAGGGGCCCTTAACTTGCTGCACTGCACATGGGAAGGCAGTAAGTATTCTTCTGTCAGTAGTACAAACTTATTTTTTTTACTAGTTTAATACAATACAATAACCTAATACAATAAAATGTGCTCTGACACATTATAGCAGGATCTTTGAATGGATCAGTTTGTTTTAATGGTGGTAGACTACACTTTAAAGTCATAATCTGTTGGTGGCTTATAGTAAACGACAGCTTGACAGTAAATTGGAGTTTGCATTACAAACCTTAGACGGAATTGATGTCAGCTTTAGAAGTTTATTTTTTTCTAAGGAAAATAAGAATTTATAAATGTCTCTTCACTCACCATATTTCTCTTTTGAACAGATACTTATTAGTCTGCTTTTCCACATTTCTGTTTTTAAAGGTTTTAAATAAAATGCATTTAAATAAAATGACATTCTCAAACTCCCCAAATTTCATTGAATTTAATCTTTTTTAATGGGAAACTTAATTCAAACTTATTTTCATTGTAGACTTGTTGGAAATCTAGAAAAAGATGGAAGATTTCTTATAAATCCATCACAAGCAGCCATGTTTGATGATATATTTTTTGACTACATCCTATTGTTTTCAGAACACTTAGAGGAAAATGCTGATTTCTGGAGATGATTATTTTTGTAAATAAACTGTAGAAATAGAATCAGAAACTAATTTTAACATCTATTTCACTAACAATTTCCAGACAGTCTTTGAAATTCTCACTTTTAAATTGTGGCAAAATCTAGTATGTAGAAACACAGAAATCATCCCACTATGGCATATTTTTTTCAAAATAGCTGCATAGCAAGTTATTGCTGTGTTTATATCATGTCATCCAACAAAGCTTTTCTAAGTGGAATAGAGTGCTTAATTCATCATTAGGCTATATAGAAGGCAAAGCCTCTATATCAAAGTAACACAATATAGTTTGTAAGATATTTTGAGGCTTTTCCCCTCCTGTCTAACAGTACTTGGATGTCACTGTAAAGGCAGGTGTTGAAATCAAAGAGGTCAGAAAGCATCATCCTATTTATTTGGATCACAGTGATCTTACACTGTTAAATATCAAGCTATTTGCAATATTTAAATCCCATTCGGTTTGTGAAGAAGGTCACTAGGTTGCTAAAAGTAAATTTTGTGGATTTGCTGAGGAAATGATGGCATTGCTTATAAAGAGTTTGATTG